TTTATAAACATTAGAATTTACATTGCTAACCCAATGTATATATCACAATTATGAATAAAACATTTACTTTATACTTGATCATTTAATACTAAGCACAAAATCTACTAGTAAACTGGTAATCAACGTATGATCATACAAATATTGCACAAATTATGATAGTTTTTTGATTAAACAAAAATTAATTATGTGCATCTGAATAATTTGATATTTTTGCAATTCGAAGAATGAATAATTAGGAACATAATCAGGAACTTAATTTATTTACTTATATTATGAAATTTATTGTAAAATTTCTTTTTTGCATAAACATGAAGAAAACTTTTCAACAAATAATATCTGAACTCTCATTTGATCTGAAACAATTCGAAACCAATAAAATAAAAATAACAGGAAAATTTAATTACTTAAAGAAGTCGCTACTACTCAACCCTGATGCACGTTAATCGTTACATTGAATACAAGTTCTTTCGAGTATTTTCATGGATGCATTGAGGTTAACACTGCATTGATTTTACATATTACTGCAAATCAACCTGCAAATTTCTGAACGGACGATTTCACGGAAATTTATGTACCATTTTGGAAAAAATACAAAATATTTCATGAATTCTTCTAAGAACGTGTTGTGGGATTCTTACCTTGGTTGCGCGTATGCCTGTAGGCCTTTGGAGATTTTAAAGCTCCGAGGCTTTAGGCCGATGGCGTCACCCAGATAAAATGGTTAGACTTTTCGGATGCGTCCCCGTTTTATCGTTTTTCTGGTTAACTCTACCCAAAGATGAAACGTTGCTATTTTCAAAACTAGTTGGCCACCACAGAATCAGTCTTAAAGAGGACAAAGCACAAACGAAAAGTTCATGAAACGTACGAATCGAAAGTCCTTCGTTACTACAAACCATGAATCACTTCCATAATAGACGATACTTTCTGCAACTATGCGAATCCTTTGTTATGTGTCTCCTCAAAGTTTTGTGATTGGTAACCATGACATAGAATACATAGTTTATGGTGAAAACTTTAATTTTTATTTATATCACAAATTTTAAAGTATTTAAAGGTGTAAATGGAAATGTTTTAAAGACATTTTTATTATTTACTTAAACTATGCTAATATATGCAATCCAATTTATTAAACAACATATTTTATGAAACGTAATTAGTACGTATAAAAATTCCACCAATTACAACTTACTTCAAGGTGAAATTTTTAATTTTGAATATTTTGGCGGTTAACGTCTAAACAATGCACACGTCGGTAAGTATTTATTCTAATCGTATTCAATTATTTACAGAAATTTCATGCAGTAATTCTCTGCACTAATGTTCGTCGGTTAATGCATTTATTAGTAGATACACAGTAGTATTGTTTAGTGAAAAAAACTGTGTAGCACTACATAACTAGTTATTTACTTGAGCGTATATAGGATGTTACAATTTGTTTCCAAAAGAAAAGTCGTACAAACTAAAGAAGTGTGTTAACGTCGCAGATTTATTAAACTATATTATATAGCTAGAAATTGTATACATCATTTGTTCATTGAATTATTTACGACAGCCAAGTTCTTCCTTCAGAATTAGAACGATCTATCATCGACATTAAATCAGTACGTCCATCCATTAGTAATCGAGTCACTCTCGTAGCGAAGGCTGGATTTGTTTTCATTTGTTGGAGTAACCATTCTACGGATATTCTGAAAATAAAATCACATTAATACAATTTAAAACGGAATAAATAATATTTACTTTAAATACCTCGCAATATACACACCCTTGTGGGAAATACCGTAGAAGCGTAAATAAAATCCGTTCGTTTTTATTGATTTTTGAAAGATCATCTGTACTTTGCCTTTTTCCGAAACCATAAGCGGTGGACAGACGCGATGGTTTAAATCCTCGAATTACCCGCAGTCTCGCAGGATGTATCACAAACTGGGAATAATTACGATTTCTAGGTGTCGCTACGATCATTCCGGCGGCAAAAGCCAAAATGATGATTATACTCGCTCGCATGGTATTCTACTAATAATAAAAATTACTATTATTATTTATAATTCTGTAATAACTACATTAGTATTAAAAAATGTATAAACTTTGTCGAGAAGAAACAAATGGATTCTATAAATATTCAATGACATAATTAAGCACGTAATCGTATATATTTTGTAATCAATTATTGTAGCTTTCAATATTTATAAAAAAAATAGTATCCATATGCTTCTATTCGGTTCTACTATTAAATTATGAATATTTATAAAATTTTGGAGACGAAATAATAACGCGCTGTCAATACTGGTATAATTCAGGTTTAAATTTCAAATACTACAAATATTTTCTTCTTAACAAGATAAAAATATGTATATTATCAGCGTAATTTCGTCTCCATTGCTTATGTTAATCTTATACGATTACGAAGAAGATGAACTTATTACGAGATCACTGAACTCAGCAAACCTGTCATTTAGTTTAAATTGATATATACCAAAAATTACGAAACTTGTAAAGTATATATAACGGTTACTTACAATATAGCAGCATTATTTATCTTTTACAAGGTGAACACGTATGGATGTAGACATGTTAATTATACTCACGTAAATAACTTAACATTTCTATTCGTTTCCATGAAATGTACGAGACTATATAAAATATCGATATTTTCGATGTAAAATAAAAATGAAACTTAATTATACATGATAAAAATAAGAATAGAACGAAACGTAAGTAAATTACACAACGTGTACTTTTCGTCAAATATTGTTAAAAGTTTAACGGACAGTTTTAATCAGTAGTATTATATGAGACTTTGAGAAAGTGTAACTTGAACTGGAAATGAGGAATGGCAGAATAGTCTTGTGACAACACATAAGGAGAGACTGAGCTGGAAATTTATCGCAGTCCCTTTTGTATCAGGCCGCCGGCAACCGCCGGTGTAGCCGCCGTTGTAACCGCCGTTGTCGACGCCAACGGCGGCAATGGTGTCCTAGCCGCCAACTACGTATGATATTTTATTTCATTTTTCTCATATGACTCCGAATAATAAATGATGAAAAAATGTTTCTTTTCTATCGTAAAATCTTTTAACTCGAATAAAATGTATCACTAAGGAGTTAAATATCATTTTCTCATAACTCATAGGAAAGGTGCGGCTGTCGGCGCCTTCGGCGTTCTTCCGGCGGCCGTTTTAGCCGACGAAGCCGCCTACGTTTGTTGAAACATGATATTTAAGAAAATAGAAAACTCTGAAGACTCTAGATTATTGATAAATGAACTAAATTTTATACAGTAGTAATGAGCTTTATAATTTGGATTGACAATACCGATTCTAGTATGATTTGAGGCGAATAATATTGAGGAAACTATAATAAAAATGGCGCACCGCCGCATCGCCGCCGTTTGCGGCGTATCACGCCTTCAGCCGCCAATGCGTATATGAATTCCCACTGCAGATGCTGACGATAACGACCCACACATTCCCGGATGTATTGTCATCCTTGGATACTTCGATATTTTTAATACTTTTCAATTTATTATCTGAATATTTCAAATTTTAATAAAATAAACTTTTACAAGTTTGAAACTTTCAAATAAACCCTTTGAAAGAATAATGTATTCATTTTAATTATAGGTAGACAATCTTTATAGTAATAATAGAATTTTATTTCTTATGTGTTTAACAATAACTCATACAATTGCAATACATATATGTACAAAATACATATTTATATGTGAACATATGTACAAAATAGATATGCATTCCTTTATGTGTACTATAATATAGTATAGATTGATTTTATACAAAGGCTTATATTACACTCGAAGCTTAATACTATTTATTAGGAATCTTCATCTGGAAATGATCGACGATAATTACTGGAATTTCTTTAAGGATAAATGACCGCAGTAAGCCAGAATATTTTGTAAACAGCTCCAAAATATATAAAGTATTTGTCCCCTCGGAATTTCCATCACTTCCTGCTTTTACGCTGTTAATAGAATATTTAAACGTATTACAATCACGTATGTATATTATAACCAAAATTCGTAAAGAAATGTTTCGATACCTTTCTGGTGTAACACACGAGGAAACGTATGCGCAAAGATATTTAACGTAACAAGTCATTGCGGAAAAGGTACACTGACGTAAAATAGTTTGTACTCCAATTGTAAATATTATAGCGTCAAGAGGATCTTGAGGCTTTTTACTCAAAAGACTTCCTAAAATGTATTATAATTAATATTTTATGTATGATATTGATGCATTTATACATATGTGTATAGACGCATATTCTAATCACCTGCATTTTTGCAATAGTACACCTTAGGTAACTGTGACATAGTAAGTAAAAACATAATCAATGCAATATTATTTATGTTTGGTGATTTAATATAAACATTATTATGAGAGTTACTTATGCCGGCCCAATCTAATCTCACGTTAAGTTCCCGTAGGAATTCGTTTCTTTTAGCTTCGTTTTGATTACTATCATTTCCTTTGCCAATTTCAAATAAAATAGCTCTGAAAATTATAAAAATGCATAATGATACATTACAATTTTTTATTCAAATTATAAATGGATTTGTCGATAATAATGTATACGTACGAATTCACAGTTTGGAGAGCGGCTTCCATATGTTTAGCTTCGAATTTGCAAGCAGTATTTAATTCATATGCTATTTTCTTTTTCAGAAGTTGATAATGTCCAATTTTTAATACCCACTCGAGCAATTGAGGACAGAATTTGTTTGTATAAGTAGCTACTACGGTATAAAGCTTCGGCGTATTACCTACGCGTGTATAATCGAAATAAATGATGTTATTAAATTCTTTTAAAACGTTCGGTACGTTGAATTATAAAACAGTACCTCGAGGTATATCCACAGAATTTAAAATTGGCTCAAAATGATCTAATACAGATGCCCAGGTTTTATTGCGAAGGTTCCTTTCTATGTAACTCATCATACTATCCAACTCAGTGGTGATATAGAATGAAATAAGTTTATCGAGACCTGTTAAGCCAGGTGTACCTATTGCTTCTAGTATTTTTGAAAAAATCTTATAATTTAGAACTTCTGCTTGTGTTTTGAGATCGTACCATGCAAGAGAATGTTCAATGTAGACGGTTGTTCTAAAAAAACGAAAAAGGACATCTCCTTAATGATATTTTTATATATTAAATACTGCTATGATATATTTAAAGCAAAATTTACCTAGGATCAGTTATACGAACAAGTTCGCGAGCAAGTCTGCCAATAAAAGTTACAGAATTATTGTCCAATACAGAAATATGTTTATCTTCGTGATAATATCTAGATGACCTTTCTGGAGTCCAAGAAGAACCTACACATTCCTCTTCTACCGCATTGTTTATAATATATGTTATCTATAAGAAGAAAATCAATTTACATTGCTGTATAAATATGTTTACATGTCTCACATTAAACGCTTTCAAATTTACTTACTTCTTCATGCCATATTTTCAGGCTATTAATATTTATATAATCTTGAATGTATTGAAATGATTTACGATAACCATCCATAATCGCCGCTAAATTATCAAGTTTTTGTAGTATCGATGTCTAAAATGATACATGAAAATGAAATAAAGAAATTCTAATTACTAGTAATTATGAATGTTATTTAAAAATTACTTTCGACTTTGGCTCGAAAACAAGGCCATTATCCAAGGCTATTGTAACTTTTTTAACCAATTCTTGCCGTATACCATCTTCTAAAAGGCGATGGGAATCAACTCTCAATACTCCCAAGGGAACACTTCTTAAAGATAATACACCTTTTGTAAATACTGATACAGCATACGTTAATTTAGCCATCTAAAAAAGATTTAGATTTTCATTTGATATCATATTTAATAATAAAAACATACTTTTCTTTATTTTGAATACAAAAAGAAATTAGAAATTGACACATACTTTCAGTCTATCGTCTAATTGTGCATACTCTTTCAATTTATCTTTTGGCAATTTAGTCGGAATTTCCTTAAAAGCGTTTGTTTCAAGGTGTACAATTTGAGCAAGTAAACCAAACACGGTCTCGGGTATTATCTGTAAAACGCGTCTCGCGTACTTTTCTAGTTCTCTACTATAGTATTGGGATACTGATGATAAATCTGCACTACGTGCCTGATTTACTCTCAATAAAGGAGTTTCCAATGCAGAAGCCATCTGAAATCGAAGGAAGTATAAATATCCAAATAAAACACATATGGTTTACTAGACAATATGAAATAGAAAAATAAAAATTTACTTTTAAAAAGAGTGCTTTTAATTTTATTACAGTAGGGGGACTTTCTTTTATGCTGGCTTGCATTGTTTCGATAAAAGATTCCATTATGTTCCATGCATAGCAACAATCTGTTACTATATTTAAACTAATCATAGTGTCTTCCGTAATACTTCCTGTGCGTACCATGTTATGCAATATTTCACGTGTATCGACTAAATACTGAGATATATGCAAATTGTTTTCCAACTGATGAAATTCTGAAATTGTTGCAATCTAAATAGTAACTTTTGTGAACTATTATAACAATATAACTTGTCACACTTATATATTTTAAGTTCTGTTATGATTACCTTGTACTTCTTCTAACGCTAGCAACAACTGCACTATTTTTCTGCTATCCTCTTGTTGCAATGATTCAATATGTTTACTAATTTCCATAAACCATGCGTGCAGATTTTGATTTTTCTCAATACCATCGAGAGATTTGTTACCTCCGAATATTTGAGCAAGGTCTGTTATTTTCTCAACACATATCCCTTTATCTCTGAGCCATTTAGTTTCTTTACCAAATAACAACTAAAATTTATTGACACAGTTTATATGTAGCGTAACATAGGTTTTATATATGATAATGTAATATAAAAAATATTGATATATTCATACATCTTTATATAATTGTTTGACATCTTGTTCAATCTGTGCAGTACTTAGCAACAATTGGAGGCAATCAACTGTTGTATATTTACTTTCATTTATTACTAACTGTCTAAGCATACGTGAACGTTTTGAATCCTCTAGCAATATAGTTGGCATTGCCGTATGTAAAAGTATCCAATGTAAAGTTACATTACATTCTTTCACTAATTTTACCAGCAATCCTATTGCACTATCATCTAAAGTGACTGCTAATTGCACTTCTTCTGTTTCTGACATCAATTTCTAAAATATATTGTTAATATAAAACACAAATAGAGAAATATAACTTATTAGTTTAAAATGATGGTATAAAAGTTAAACATGACAATTACCTTCATTTTTTGACCATATTTTTGCGCAATTATTTTCACATTTGAAGATTCAAGCGTATTATTGAGAGCTGTTCTTGCAGCTTTATATGGTGACCACCAATCACATAAATTTATTACTATTCCCATATAGATACTGATGACCCAATTATCAGGGAAAAATCTATCTACTATTTCTCTCATAATAGCTGTATGCGTATGTAACATGCTTGACTTAAATGATAAAATTACAACCAGCATCGATGCTTGATTAGAAAGGGCAATACTACGATGTTCTGGATGTGGAAAAGCAAGACTCTGATTGTATATTTCATCTGAACGTAAACGTCCAATAAGATGTTCTATTAGAGATTCATTTAACTGTATTCTCCTGAAATAAAAATATTCAGACAAGAGAGCATTAAAGGTACTATAAATTTAATCCTTTGCACTCAAAAGTTTTTCATTAGAAATATTCAACATTTTCTGATGAGATAAAAAGTTAAAAGAGTGCTTCTACAAGTGCAAAGAGTTAAACAGCTCAAATGTCTTACTTAAAATATTCCTCAGGATAATTTGCAGGTCTCTTATTGGAAGTTCTAGAAAATCCTGTTGAACGAAGTAACATACATATGTCATCTACTCTTGTAGAAGATGAACGTTGAGCATTATAGCGGTAATAAGATACTAGCAATCTTTCCCTTATGCATCCCTCAAAATGATAATCCACCAAAAGTAGCATAACTCCATATAAGTATACCGCTTCGCACTGTTATTATAATTTATATCCATATTTATATGATATAAAAACATGTTACATTTTATATTTTCTATTTTAAAGTTGATGTTTACTTTAAATAATGACATTAAAAATATTTGATTGTACATAGGTTGCTATTGGAATAAGCAACCTTGCTAATTATGTTATCACTTTAAATTATTAAACTGATGCTTATAAACTATTAAAATACCATTAATTGTCGTCCTTCCTCATTTAACATAATTGAATCTATAGATTGATGAATATAAATTCCATCTCCTAATTCGTCTACATATGTATTTAAATCAGTAACATATTTGTGTATGCTCTCAAATGCCAAGTAAAACCTTGAAATTATGTCTGAATAATTATTTCGTAAATCTTCATCAGTTTCTTGAAGAACCTATATAAAATATTTAATTACCAATTATGATAAACGAGATCATATGAAAATATAATTATTTTTATTCATTTTACAGTTCTTTCTTTCTTACTTACTGGATCATTTTCTATTTTTTGTTCGTAAACATTAACTGATTTAAAATATGCAAAATCAATTACAATAAATTCATATTTTTGT